CTTAAGTGGAGAGCAAATGTTTTGAGAATGATGAGGGCAAGGAATGTACAAATGTGCTTTACACAATTGATGTATGTATGGATTGTGATAAGAGTTGTATGAGCCCCTAATAAAATGATTAAAAAAAGAAAAAGAAAGCAACAGCGTCAAACTGGGAAGAAAAAAAATACCATGGCATACCCTGACCTCAAAGACTTTATAAAAATAGAAAAGTCACTACACAGTTACAGCCCCTAGCAAGTTTCAAACATTCTGAGAAGGAAGAATAACCTGATTTTCAGAGTTACTGCATTATAATATTCAAACTGCCCAGATATCAACAAAATATGAACAAAGTCAAAATGTAGTGCTAAACAAAATACAAAAGCAACGTAACATCAGGATTGGATGAAGACAACAGTTTATAGGCTGATGACACAACTTTGCATGCTGAAAATGAAGTACTTACTGATAAGGGCCAAGAACTACAGTCCTCTGTGTAAACATTGCCTGAACATGACGAAAACAAAAATCATTGTGGGCTGGGAGATAGGGAGGGTTAGGAGATCTCGGCGGGAGTCAATGAAGGCGGGAGGGAGGAGGGAGCACTAGAACTGATTGTGATTACACAACTCATTTTAAAGGCAATTTAATATGGGGGATGTTCTAAAATTATGACGATTGTGTAATTATTCTTAATAGAATGATTGAACTATTGAATTGTATGATATGTGGATTAGGTACCAATAAAAATGTAAAAAAAGGAAAGAAAAAGTCTCAGAAACACAAAGGCACCCTATCCTATAGATGAATAACCATCATGATAAATTGGGGGAGGCGCAGGATGGAAGAAATTGATAAAGATTTAATTATATGTAGATCAATAACAATGGCCAACATATATTTTGGTGCCTCAGATGTTAGACTCTGGGTGTGTTTGACCTGCTGACCCCAAAAATCGCACCCGGTTTCACCTCTCTGCTTTAGTTTTTGAGGTATAGAACATAAGCCATTCTTCACTCTGCTCACCCATAAAGAAAATCAGGGTATTTTAACATAGTGTTAGCTTGCCTGAGATAGAGGAAGTACGTTCTGGCTTTATTTAAAGTAGTTTGTGTTATACTAAATATTTAGGTCAAGTTGTACTCCACATGGTGTCCTTTGATCCTGAGATATATTTGAACAGTGGAAATTACATTAAGTTGGAATTTTCCTCAAGTATCACCGCACCTTTATTAGGA